GTGCCAATTATTATCTGTTCTTCGATTTTTTCACCACGTGACACTGGAAAGATAAAGTTTCTTTTACCGATATTTTAAACATTAAAGAAAAAAAATAATAATGCAGAAATTATTATTTAAAGAATCAGTATCAATTAAATGACACATTTTCAAAAGAATACTAAATTTATGAATTGCATTACGATATTTTGTCTGCTGTTATTTTTACCACTATACTTTCAAATCCTTTTTGTTATTAAAAAGTGTGCAAAAAAAAAGGAAAAAAAAAAATGAATGATAGAATAAAAATGAAACAAGTGACAACCGATAACATTTTTTTTTGTATGAATTGAAACAGCTATTATTTTTTCATTTCAAAGAACGAAAACGAAAAAACAAAAACGAGAAAAAGAAAACAAAATGAATCTCTTATGCACTAAATTGAAAATTAAATACTTTAGGATAAACAAATTATTCTACCTTATGGCGAAACAATTACATTCACTAATGCAACCCAAAAAGAGGAAGTATTCAAGTTGTGATATCTTACAAGAAGGTACATTAATTTTTACAAATACCACAGTTATTTAAAATATTACATTCAGTCAGATGAATATAATTGAAGTCAGCTCAATAAGAAAAGCATTCATAAACACTACATTTAATCCTACTATTCAATGATAAATATGACAGATCGTCGTGTCATCCCTTGCTATTCGCTAAATTTAAAATAAGCAGAAAAAAAGTGAGCACATACGGTTCAACCAGAAGTAAAGGTAGTGCCGCTTCTTGAATTTTTGATGGCATATAGAAGCCCATTTTATTTAAAGCCTTCAGAAGTTCATCCTTTCTGCAAATACAGAAAATTTTAGCATGATAAATGAAATTTGATTAAAACTAAAACATCGTGCCGACCAATTTTTAGATGAAATCCGCAATACGCTTTTATCATTCTCATAGTTACGTTAATACAGTTAGTTTCTTTGACCCCTAAGACTGACACATATAAATCTTAAATAGCTAACGATTTTAAATAGAAACTAACAGGCGTAAATTCTGAAATGAAGTAACAGAGTAGAGCGGTGAATTCGGATCACTTCGAGCCTGTGAAATTTCTAAACTACCATTTTGAAGATTTTCTAGTTTTTTATGTAATATTTTGTTTAGCAACGATATTTCGTCGTTTGGCATCGCTAAAAAAATAATTAATAAACATGATTCTTAATTACAGTGACCACAAATCAATACATTTCATCGCAGTAACTGACATTTCTTACCAAATCAGAGGCAATATCATAAAAAGTATGTTTAAGTGTGCTATTCAACTTCAGTGGTATTTAAGTTTTAGTCAAAGTGAATTCAGCAACTGCATGAAACTGTTAGTCTTCATAATTGTGTATCTTGATTTTTTTTTTGATAGCGAAGTGACTTTACAAATGTTTCCGAAATAACTTTCTTTTTCAAGCAATTCAATTCAATCTATCCGTTAAGTTGAAAGAGTAAATCCTGAACTTCTTGTGTTTCATTCTATTGCATATCAAGAGATCGCAATTATTCTCTTCAATGAGTACTTGCAAACTTACGCTTTTCATATTCATCTTTGGGGAAAAGTCCATTATCAGCGTGCTGGGAAGATTCCTGACCAACATTCATCACCGCTTTCCGCTAAATATTTCGATACTTTAAAGCTTTTTTTATAATTTTACAAATTATAAAAAAACTTCAAAATGATAACCAATCAAAATCATTTAATCAGTGCTGTTAACATAACACTTTTCCTAACCACTAAAACAACATTTACCGAATCGTAGTAAAAACAGTACCTGATGTGAAGCAGAAAAAGATGGTACAGTATCACCGCCTGAAAATTTCAAAACCACAGAGTAAAAATAAATTATGAATAATCTTTAAAAAAAATTAATCTCAAAAAAAAAAATAAAATTATGAAGGCATGAGAGATTTTACTGGCATCATTTACCAGTTAGTAAAACGATACTCCAAAAAAAGAAGAAAAACTTGATGCAGAATTATCCTAACTTCTCTCACTTTGTTTATCGGCGCAAAGACTTCGTCCATATAGCGGCCGACCACTGGATGGAGAAGTGAAACCGCCAAATTTAGGAGTTGTGTTGTTAAGTGTATCTGAAGACGTTAATAAATAAATTTTTAACATTGAAGAAAAACTAAAACATTAGATAGTGAAACCAAGTATCATTCAATGGTACAGGTCCTACATTTTTTTCCTAAATTCGTTCCCTATGTTCTTAGGAAACTACAAGATTGAGGACAATGTTTACCTTTAGAAAAATACCAAAATTATATGTAATGTTCTATGTAATTATAATAATAAAACGTACCTGTTGCCATCTGACTAGGAACGAATGGAGATGAACGACAAGCAGCTTGTTCCCAAAATTTTTTTTCACGTTCTTCAAGAGATAATGTATGTGTCGCTGAAAATAATGAATTATTTCACTGAACTCTAATTAACTGAAACCGATAGCCAGCATTCATTCTGCAATATAAAGCAGGCAAATACACTATCAACACGTTTCTGATTTATCTTTACACTATTTTCTTATTCATTTGATGCCTATTGACTACTATGTACATAAGCTTTTAAATCTTTGAAAATAGATACTGATGTTTCAAAATGCAGTAACCTTTGTATTTGAAACTACACCGTTTTTCATCAAAAACTAATCAAGGTTCTGATGTATGAGTTAAATTGGCATGAAAATTCCAAACAATTAATCTGATATGAACAAAGATGACAAGGTTAGTTTGCTCATATTGAGAAGCAAATGATACTCATATCTATCAATGTTAGTAATTCATTTCATATATGAATAACATCTCATAAGGAAGTATGTAAGCACCAAAAACGTTATTAACTTGGTGAGTTTTCCGTCTTGAAGGGCTGCTGCATTCGAACATTCGCGACATTATTATTGAAGCTCTGGCTTTTTGCAAATGGCGATGCCGATGAGAAATAGCTATTTCCTGCATCCAAATTTTTTCGTTCTAACTCTGAATCTCCTTCACCTTCCGGTCTATTCCGTCTGTTGCCCATCGTTCATTACTACTGTTGAACTGCGATGAGACAGAGGAATTCGATAAATTAATAGTGCTAGCTGGTGCAGTAAATTGACCCATGCTGCTTGCCTGATTCGAATTCATTACAAGCAGATTACGTTTAGAAAAACTGCTGCCTGTATCAAATCCCGGAGTAGTTGCTCGGAATGTAAAACTTCTGTCGCCACTAGATGGATCAGTCGGTTTTGTTGAGCGAAGTCCACCACCAAATGTACTTCCAAATCCACGCTGCGATGAACCTTAAACAAGAAAAATTTAGCATCGTCGTAAGTACTGAGTATAAATCACCGAATACAATTTGAATTGGTAAAGGAAGGTAAAGGAATTGGAAATCAAGTAGACCTGAAGTGATGAGCAACTGCAAGAAAATCAAGAATATAATTTTAGAGAAAATTATATCTTCAGGTAAATGTAAGCTGGAAACAGTGGATTTGGATCCAACTTAATATGATGAAAAAAGATTGATTCAAAAAAAAAAAAAAAAAAAAAAAAACGTCAAAAGATTGTTTAGTAGCTCCAAACTATATGTCAGCTATTCACAAAAAGGCTTATTGATTCAAATGATTAACCTCATATCGTGTAATGGAAGAAATACACCTACTTCCAAATGAATTCTTTGTCTGGAAAGAATTAAATGGCATTCCTTGACTATTGCTGCTATAACTGCCATCAACCACTCTTTCACGATTTTTTCTTCCGTCTGGCGAGTCACTTCGTAAATTTAAATTACCACCAAATACGTTTTCACCACAAACTTTCGGCACTGCAAAACAATTACAACTGCCTTTGAACGTGCAGTATCTTATTCGGTCTTAATACTTAAATTACTTTAAAAATCCTACTATAAGTTAATTACCCATATATATTAACAATTCACTTTATTTCTCCAAAATTGCCGTGGTTTTACAAATATTTTTTTTTCCTAATAATTCCCTGTCAGTTATTCCATTTCTAGAACACCTTCCAACTATCTGAAGACTTCACAGTATTATAAATAATTTTGTGCTTTCTTTTTCAAAATAACAAACAAAGGCTCATTTTGCAAAAAAAAAAAAAATATCTCTCTATTAGCATACGATAAGAAAATTTTCTCAAACAATACCTGAAAAACCTCCGAACAACTGCCGCTCATTGTTACTGTCACCACAGCTTACCTTGGATTTATCATTCAATGATAAGGCTTTTGTCTAAAATAATTTTGTTATTCACCACATATGTATACTATATTAATGCAGTCATTAATATAACAGGGTCTGGATTGGTACTTCATACCTTAAAGTATCTACTCACGATACCAATGCATTTGTATAATCATACCCAGTTCAGTATGTTTATTTATGTATGTCCTGGACTGGAACTTCATGCTTTGTTATATTTAATACTTAGACTTTATATTTAGTATAATATGCACTGGTTATTTCATATTTAACATTTTAGCTACTTACATAAGTTCTTTTCCGACAGAAATTAAAGTTAGTAACTTAACTAAAAAGTTGGTATTAGAAATGATTCTCAAACAGAGTGAATATATTAGTATGCCAAATGTACTAACATACTGAATATATCAAATGCATATCTCAAACATTCCTACATATTTTACCATATTTTTAGTGTTATCGAATTACCGAATTATAAAACCTGAAAAAATCAGAGTTCTTTTAACAAGTATTCTCTAATCCTATTCCTCCATATTCTTTCTAAACACAGAATTCCCCAATATATTGGAGCAAGAAATTATGAATTATTTTCTTCGAAGATCAATCAAACTTGAAAAAAGCCAAAATTCAAACCCTGTCAACAACATCTCGATGGCTTTTCAGATGACCTTCTGGAACCGCCCATGGATCATCTGAATCGTTTGCTCCTGCCATTCACCTGTAATAATGTTAAACTATGAATTTTGCCATACCATGTGTTAAGCTAAAAATTCTGTCGCAGACAAAATGATTATTTCATTTCCTTAAGAAAGAATGAATATCAAATAATGAAAACGTCCATAGAAAGTAAAGGAGATTGAGCTTAAAAAGATTGAGTTTAAAACATTGAAAGATTGAGTTTGGAAGATTTAAAAGATAAAAGAGAAAGTTAAAAGATCGAGCTTAAAAGAGTAAAAATTCGCGTTTAATCCATATATCAAAAAATAAAATCCGATGTATAATACACGACAGTTTTCAAACATATCAGACAATAAATAAACGCTTATTTTGAAATGCAATTCAAGTAAAAAGCTTTTTTAAAGTAAAACTACTGCAATGCACTACCATTATTCATGATTTGTCACTCATTTAATTAAATTTATTCGAAAACTTCTATTGTTAAATAAAATTTAATGAAAATTTTCAAATAAACAAAATTGAGATGAGTCAAAATTTTTCACACAAAGTATAGCAATTCAGGAATAGAATCAAATCTCACTTCCTAATACAGTAATTCCAGTAAAGCAGAATCGCCCGAAAAAACGGGAACGACCGGCAAAGGTGGGAATATCCGGCAGAATACCGGTCAGCTCGAGAACGAATGTTTGACATCGTTACCGTAAACGAATTCTGGATGTAAGAGATCGATCTATTGTTACAGCATAAAAATATTATTCAACTCTAAATATTATTTATTTATGGTAATAAGCACTATAATAGTACTTTAATACAGCGATAATCTTATTTCAATTAGTAAAATTTAATCAAAAGTTTATACCCAAAAGATTTATCTTTTTGTAAGTTTTGCATATTTTAGAATTTTTGCAAATTGATTAAAAAATATAAAGTTTAGAAATCATAAAAATTCACAAAATAGTATGATTTAAAACAGCTTTTGAAAAATTATAATATGCATAAGTGATACATCATTTATATTATAATATGAACTTTTTTTTTAAATATCAAAAAAGGTTTCTTTGTTTATGCATAAAGCTATAATTAATTATAGTTTGTTTTTCTTAATTCTTTTACAACCATTAATTAGACATTATTAATTATTACTGTTCTAGCAGTAAGTCTGCTAAATGAGACAGTCTATACGATATGCTGATAATTACTGATAAAGGAATGTTCTTTATCAGTTAAATGCTAACATAGCAATGAGAAATGTTTTATGTAGTAGGACAAGAATAGAGCATATATGAAAATGTGAGGAAAGTAAGTTATGAGGATGATTTGGTAGGTTTGTATGATATGATGTGATAATGATATGATATGATATGATAATGATTGTGGTGATGATGAGTTGGATATATCATTAGAGCGAGAAGTTTTAACATTGATGGAATGCAAGAATTTGTCTCAAAATGATTGCAATGACTGCTACTCGCCAGTAATTAATTAATTAATTAATGATTGATTAACGAGAAATGCGGTATGATAGGCATTTTGTAAAGTGGGAAATAATCATTGAAATCTGTAGTAAATTATATCGGTGAAAGAAATGATATGATAAATAAAGTTTAAGCGTATCATTTGATTATTGATTTGCTCAGAGATGTAAATTAATAAATCGGAAAGATTATGCCATTATCAGATTGACATTTTGAATGAGAATTTAAATTTTGGTAATTTAAATAGGCTAAATGATTTATTCAATGTAAATAATTGAACTATTCTACCAATATTTTTCTCTTTAATTCGCACATTTTTCTTTCGTTTAAAATATTTGAAATATTGTGATCAAAATTTGAACATCAAAATGGATGTTACTAAATTCTGCTTACAACTATCAGTCAGATATTATTCTTTGCCCAAATTTCTAAATGTTAATGTGATCAATTTATATTTTAATAAAGATTTTCTAAAACTTAAAAATTGTTGAGCTGCTAGATTTTTCATCTAAATTTTAAGATTATGATTTTGCATTTATTTCTACAGTATAAGTTAGCAAAATTTAATTTTAGGATGCTATTAAGTTGTTGGAAAAAAAGAGCTAAGAAAGGAAATGGAATGTATAATTTATAAAGATCCTTTGGATATAATATTTTCAAAGAGCATAGAACTGAATAAATGAATTTTACTTGATCAAAATTTCAAATTGATTTTTTAATTTCAAATTAAATTAATTACATTAATTTCAAATTAATTACAGACTAACTATTGTAAGCTGCAAACGAATTTCAATTTTCAGAAGATAACTACTCATTCTCTTCAGTAATTGTAACTGATTTCTTTACTTCAATTTTATTTGATAAAGTGTTAAATAAATGATCAAAACATTATTAGAATATATTCATAACACTTTATTTGCAACTTTTCAATCGATGATCAAATAATCTTTTTGAAAATTTCTGAAAAAAAAAAATTAAATCGCTTGAAATTTTACACGACTTCAGCCTTCTGAATATCTTTATCAGTACATTATTTGCTATTGTAAATTAAGAATCAGATATTTTCATAAAGAATTGATAAATGTTATAAACTTTCAGTAAAAATGAAGAAAAAATAAAAAGTAACGAATCAAATGATAAGCAGATAAGTGATAAAACATTAGAGATAAAAGCATTAAGTGCAGGATGTTTTGCCAAATGATTAAATACATTGTTAACAAATGCTTATGATAAATGATTAGACTATCCTGGCACTCTCTAATGTTATATAAATTACAACCAGTTGCTAGCACTTATCATTTCCAATTTTTCATTTTTATTTTTCTTTACATCAAACAGTTAGTTATTTCGAATTTTGAATTGTATTATTCCACCTAACACTTTTTTATTGATCATTTTACTAATTTTAAATTTTATCAAATGAAATGTTTCTATTAAAAAAAATTTGATAAAATAAAAATATTTCTTTTAGGTAATGATATTGGTGCATATTTTATGCTTAATTCTTCATTTAGTCATTGGTGATCAGATAAAATTTGCTGAAAAAATTTCAACTCGTTCAACAGCTGCAAAAGGTATTTTACTCTGCGGGAATACATCAGCTAATGATGTCAAAGTGAGATTATTCCGGAAAGCAAGCGATGGTATGCAAAATATATATCAGTTATTTCTTATTAACCTTTAAAAGTTTGATATTACTAATTATGGAAATGAATAGTATAAGATTAGCAAAGGTCAAGTGTATAGAAAGGTCAAACGGGTAAACATGGAAAGATTGTATCGCAGCAACTAAAAATTATAAAACATTTAAAAATTGCTATTAATAACTGTTATAGCATTTCTTTTTTAGTCAAATTATGAAGTAATTAAAAATTATTCAAACAAAAATATATTTAATTTTTTTAAATTTTTAGCTCAAATAAGATAATTAATTGCAAATAATTATGTGAAGAAAAATTGAATAGCAAGCCTAAAGGAAAAATTAAAAAAAAATTGAGAAAAAATCTGATAATAGAAATTTAATTAAAATAATGACTTAAAAATCCTTAAATTAATTATTCAAACAAATATTTCATTATTTAAATGACTAATTGAAATATTTCAAACTAAATTATGTTTTTCAATTTTTAAACAATTATTATTTGATCATTTTTATGATAATGTCTTGTATTTGATATACATTAACTTTTCGATAATTATAATTATTCGTCGTTGAAAAGTTCATTTTAAAAAAAATTTCAAAACTATGAAATTTCATTTAAAAAAAAAAAGTAGCTTTTAGATATTGGCGAAGTTCTGTCAACCAATCAAACAACATTAAATGGACATTTTCAAATTGAAGGTGACACAGTCGGACGAACAGAGCAAGACATTGATCCAGTGATTAGATTTTATCATCGATGTGATGATGATTTAAAAAAAGATCTTAAGAAGGTCACTTTTAATAATTATTTTGAAATGGAATTAAGAAATTATAAATAGTATCAAATTTTAATTAGCACTAACTCAAATTAATTTTTTTGATTCAAATTGAATAAACTAGGAAATTAATGGTAAGAAATACCTTAGATTTTAAAACTTCTTTGTCTTTTTCAAGCAGTAAAATATTTCAAAAAATCACTAAACTTCATATTTCAAAACTTAATTACTTGAAATACAATTATCTAATACAGCTATGCGTTTTTTTCGATAATTGCTTAGAATGATTACTAGCTTCTTAGCTAAAATTAGAAAATATTAATTTAAAATAAAATAGCAAACATAAATTAAGTTAAAATTTAAAAGATTGGATCAAAATAGATTGGTTACCGAACATTTGCCATAAGTTACCCTAAAGAATACGTAACAATCGGCAGAGTACCGAGGAAACCATTCGATATTGGTAAATTAAATTTGCAGGTTTGTTTATTCATCAAAATTTATCTCTTGTGAATAAATACGTGTATAAGTAGTTAAATTTATTTATTTTTTAACATAATTTGTAAAATTTGATCTAATAGTGATAATATCACAATGATTGTTATATTTGATCGACTGATTATTCGTCATTATCACTTAATTATTCATTTAGTATCACTAAATAAACCATAAAATTATGCAAAATTTTCTGACTTATCTTAAAAAACATTTGCAAATTGTTAACAGAAATTTACAAATTACATAAATCTTAATTAACTGATAAAAACGATGAAATATTTATAATGAAATGACATTTCTAATAACTCTACTTCCTTTCATTGTTTCCGTTTAATAATTTCTGACCTTTAACCTTTAATTTTAAAATAACTTTTGGTTATTTCTCATCAATTGCTGGGCACTGTAAAATAGAATGTAGAAGTAAGGAATGTTTGAATGTATAGCAAAATTCATACCTGAATATTCCATTACTATTTTTTTTTCATAATTTAAGGGTAAATTTGTTTGTTTGTTTAAGTTAGCAAATCTAAAAATCTTTGTTTATTTTACAAAGATGAATGTTTCATTTTCTAATTGTTTTTTAAACTAAAAAATTTATTCAATTAATTTTTTTTCCTTTTTTTCCAAAATTTACTTTATATAACA